AGGCAATCATGCAAGCCAAAACTAAAGCAGTGAGGATGTAGACGAGACAATTTTCTGGGAGCCGTGGATTTCTTAACTGATAAATTGTGAACTAGAAGGAGCCGCAGTTCAGCCAGAGGCCAGTCCCTGCAAATTTAGGACATCACATCACACTGGCCAGCATTAACTTCTCTAACAGAAGAACCACACCCACCAAGTCTTCCGCAGGGCCCTCTAACCCTCTCCTCTCAAACACAGAAGAAAGGGGGAAGCAAAGGGGTCTGCCTTGGGGTCAAAAGTGAGTAGTTTTCCAGGCAGAGGGGGAGGATCAAGAGGGCAGGTAAGAAAACACAGAAGTGGGAAACAGTCCCATTTGCTTTGGCAGATGAGGTATCTAGAGGGTGGGGGTGGCGCAGCCTTCAAGACTGGAATTGAGGCTGGGAGATTTGCAGCGCCCACAACTTCAGGTTGAGGAATCTGGCCAGTTTGTAGGACCTCAGTCAAATGGAGGAGGGGCGCCCCCTGGGAGTAGTACTGGGTAGTGGACACAGGAGGGCCCAGATGAGAACGGGACGGGGAGGAGGGGGTGCGGCCGAAGATGGGATAGACAGCCTGCCGCAGTTTTCTTCTCACAGGAGCCAACTCCTTCCGGCATGATGGATTCCTGGGATCCCAGAACAGCTGGGCTGGAAGGGACCTCGAAAAAGGAACTACCTACACGTGCCCTGTGTCAGGCCCTGAGCTGGGCATTTTCGTGAACATTGTCTTAACACTCCTAACTCTGCTTTGAGGTAGGTATCATTATCCCCATTTTTCAGATGAGAAAAACCGAGGTTCGGTGACTTCCCAAGGAGGGGTGGGGATTTTGTATGACTCCAGAGCCTTTTCCCTGGAAGGTATCGAGGTTTGGGGGAACAAGCTTCGGGTGTGAGGCGCCGAAGCTTTCCAAGGGACAACGTGACGGTACTTTCGGCAAGAACCATACCTCCCTTGTCGCGACAATACCGATTACTGTTACTTTCCTTTAAGAGCCTTCCCCTGAAAGATGAAGTCCTCGCCATACGGGGAGGCGGATATTATATATTCCTGGATCTCCCGGACGTCTTTCTCCCTCACCCGCATTGATCCCCGCTGGTGACATAAATTCTCCCCTTCCACTAGAGCGTGAAGTCAAGAGACTACATTTCCCGGCAGGTCGTTCAGAAGAGGGTGGCGGGGAGGAGAGGAAAGAGACTTCGTTTCCGTCAGCTCTCAATTTGGCATGTCCGCGGTGATACACATTTCAACAGCCTACTCCTTTCTCGCCAGAGATAAGGAAAGGACTACGTTCCCCAGCAGGCACTGGAGCAGAGGGCGAGTGATAGGCCGCCATCTTTACTGAAGTCCTTCCCCCGTTTCCGCAGGGAGTAGCCTTAGCGAATGGACTACAAATCCCAGGTCGCCGTCACCCCGTTCTTTCGGCCGCCATCTTTGCTGGTAGTCCCCGCCCCTTTCCCCTTCCATTGTTTCGACTGAAGATAATAGAGGGCAGCTGGGGAGACTGCAACTCCCGTCAGGCTCTGCGCCACTAGGAGAGGGATTTCGATATTACAGGCGGGCGAGGTGCCCAAGGTGGTAGAATGAGGCGAAGGGGAGAGGCAAGGTAGCCTGCCATCTTTATGGTAGTCTCCTTAGTCTCCTGGTTCCGCCATTCTTAAGGAACGCTAGAAGGCTAGAAAACTACTATTCCCATCGCACCTCATAAGATCGACTGTCTAGTCAGGTGTCCGTCCCACTTTCTCCATCTTGCTTGTAGTCCTCTTTCCTTTTCACCTTTCCATTGTTCCTGACGAGTAGAAATGGCAGCGGGAAGGCAGCAGATGGACTGCGACTCCCGTCAGGTACCACACACGCGGAGGGTTGTGGACAGGAGGGCGTGTGAGTGCCTGGGGAGGAGGTTGGGTCGGGGGAGAGGGCCATCTTGCTTGTAGTCATCGTTCCCGTTCCTCTATACTCTGCATCGGGGAGCCTTGGGGCGACCGGACTATAACTCCCGGCATCCTCGGCTCCCGGCTTGGCACTTCCTCCGCCATCTTGTTTGTAGTCCCTGCTGGCCCCAATGTCCCGTTGTTCCCACGGTAGCATCAGCGTCCGTGGGACTACGACTTCCGTCGTGCGCTGCGCGTGTTCGTCCTGGAAAGTGGAGGTGGTGGGGGAAGGAGGGGGCAGGGGGCGGGGTTCCTTTGGGAGAAGGAGGGAGTAAAGAGGAGGAGGAGGAGGGAAGGAGGAGGGAGGGGAGGGGGAAGAGAGGAGGAAGGAGGAAGGAGCTCAGGAGGGATGAGAGAGGCGGCCAGGGCCCCGGGCCGAAGCAACGCGGGGCCAGGGGACCAGGGGGGCTGAGGCACCCCAATTGCCCCCTCCCCCTTTCCCTGCCCCCTTCCATCCTTTCCTTTCACCCTCCTGCTTGAGCAAGGGGATTTATTCAAATTTTATTTAAATCCCTATCTCCGGAGGGTCGCGCGCTGGGGGGAGGGGGAGAGGGCGGGGGCGCGCGCAGGCTGGGGGGGCGGGGCCGGAGCAGCTTCCTTTACCCCCCTCCACCCGCCCCGTAGCTGTAGGGCAGGGGGCCGCAGACCAGGGACGGGCCCAGGGGAGGGGGGCAGGTTACAGCGACCCCCCCCTCCCCGGGAACCGGCGGTGGGCGGGGCTTGAACCCCGGAAACGGTGGGGGGCCCAGGCCTGGCCCTGGACCCCTGGGCTGTGGGGGGCCGGGAAGGGGCCAGTTAAAGGGCCGGGGGCGCTGGGAAGAGGCAGGACGGGGGGGGAGGGGAGCTGGGACTCGGACCCCCGGACTGAGTGGGGCCCGGGCAGAAGCTGTGCACCCTGCGCCCGAGGAGCCCCCGTTGGCCTGGGGGGGCTGAGGGACTGAGCCCCCCAGAGCAGGACCTCCCCCTGGAAGGGCCGCGCCGCAGCCCGTGGGAGGGCCTCGCCCCCGGCGCCCCCCATCTCCACTCGCCGCCGTCCCGGCCTCCGCCGGAGGGAGGGGCCGAGCGCCCTCGGGGGGCCGTGGACCCCGGCGTTCTGAGTGTTCCGCGCCCCGCGCCGCCCGGCCCCCCCGCCGCCGATGGCCGCCGACCCGCCGGGAGCTGCCGAGAAGGGAGAGATGGCTCCCGGGACACGTGTGAGGTGGGTTCATGCGGCTCCTCCTCACCCTCTAGACCTGGGCAGCTCCCACTCCCATTCATCCTTAGCCCGGCTTCTCTCTACCTTACCCGCCCCCAGCCTCACCCTCTCTTTGCTCCAAACTCCTCTTCAGCCCTCCTTCCTGTTACCTCTCAACCCTGGGGAACTGGCCTTCCTTCCTAGACCCTGCTTCCCCTTGCAGACCCCCATCCCTGCCTGCAGTAGCCGCCCTCCAAGGCCCCTCCCCTGGAGGGCTGGTGGGCCCCTTCCCCCCATGGATGGGTCTGGAAGTCCCTGGAAAGGGGGAAGCTGGGGTAAGACTCTGGCCATGAAGAGACCCTACCAGGACTGCTGAGTCTGTATGGGATCTTGGAGGATCTGGTTTCCATGGGAAGGGGAGCCCAAGGGATTCTAGACAATTAGGGATGGAAAGCAGCCTGGGAAGCTGAGGGGCAGGGGGAGGGTGCACATGTAGGACTGAACCCATCTTGAGTTCTGTGGAGATGTCAGGCTGGATTCTAGAATCCCAGGGAATCCGGGAGATTGCCAGGTAGACCGATAGATCCAAGAGGAGGGCATCTTGGAGCAGAGGGAGCTCTGGGGAGCAAAGGAGTTGAGGTTTTGGGCCAAGGAGGGACTCTGAAGCAGCATCTCAGAGAGGGTCTCAGAATCCTGGGAACTTGGGCAGCCCAGTGAATCTTTAGGGATTGGGTCGGGACAGAGAGGTTATGTGTTAGTTGTTTGTGAGAGAAGGAAAGGTGAGAATAACAAAGGTGTGGAGTGTCCACCCAGGAATCTAGTGGTATCTGGGAGGTAAACCTAGGGCATTTTAGGTTGCAGAGAGCATGGGATGGAGCACATTTGGATGGGTAAGAGCTGGGACCTCTCTAAGGTAACTCTACAGACAAGGAGCCCCTGGCTTTCCAAGGAGCTTTGCTGTGGGGATGTCAGTGGAGGGGGCCATGGGCTAGACGAGGGGACACTGAAGAAGTGTTAGGGGAGGAGTGAGATCAGGAAGCCAGTTCTCTGGGTTCCTAGAGGAGCCAGGGGAACTGTTTCAGAGAGAGAGGCCTTGAGTAGAGGGAGCGGTTCCCCTCACCCGCTGCAGGAGGGGGGACCTCCTCGTTCCTTATCTCCCTCAGTAGGAAGCCAAGCTCCTGCTGCCCTGGGGGAGCTGCCAGGAGTGTCCCAGGCCAGGGCCCCAGTGGGACCCCTG